AAACTAACTAGAGCCATAATGGATTATTTTTAAGTCTATTACTTTTAATTTAATAGACTATTTCTAAGCTTGTTTGTTAATAACTATTTCATTGAGATAATTGAGAAATGCAAACTTTTTTAAGAAATGGCACGGAAATGACTAGGTTAGTAATGGTTGTTGGTGATTGACAATCGTTATTTTTGGTGAATTTCACATTTTGATATGTAATTCTTTTAAAAGGTTAAAAATTCATAATATTGATTCTTAAAAGATCAAATTATATGAAAAAATGACATAATTAAGTGATTATAATGTTTAAAACAAGCTTTTAATTATTATATAACAATTATCAACCACTAAATATTGACTATCAATTATTAGTTATTTCTTAACAATTAAACTAACTAGAGCCATAATGGATTATTTATGAGTCTATTACTTTTAATTTAATAGACTATTTCTAAGCTTGTTTGTTAATAACTATTTCATTGAAATAATTGAGTATTCTAATTAATTTAACCAAATATTTGTAGAACAACTATTTCCGCTCGGGCCGGTAATCATTTTCGGACAATAATAGCCAAACAAAGTCACTATACTTAGTTTGGAAGACAAGCTTGTCCGAAAATTCATTCTCTCTCCTCTTTGATCGATGCCAGAAACAAATTCTTCACTTATGTAGAAATTAGTACAATAATTAGTTTCTAATTTAATAACTACCAATTTGGTGAATCTCTGGTGCATTAAATAAGTGAAGCTTATTGTACCAAAAAAATAAGTGAAGCCCATGTCAAAGGTCTAAAGGTGAGATGGATGATGCTGCCTACTGAGTTTTCAAAGCGCAGGTTTGCGTGTTGGAAAACACTCTCAATGGGAATGTACCAAAAAAAAAAAAAAACCTCTCAATGGGATCAAGACATAAATGGCCCAGAAAGCCTGGAAGAACAGACAAAAGAATCCACATCCACTGATCCACATGGCACTTGTGAGCCCTACAGTGCTTCTAATTTGAGCTTGTGGCCCATGGTCCTGGACTCCTATTCGATTGGCAATCCATCTCAAGATGGTAAATTAGTACAGCCAATTGCCATGCGGTCAATGGAGATTGCAGTCAAGGACGCAATGCCAAACGGTCCTCTAAAGATTTTGCAGGGGAAAATGGAAGAAGAAGACAAAATACTTCAATTTTACTCAAGGTAATCTTTTATAGCTTGTTTTGTTTGAAGAGAAATTAAGGGAGGAGAGGGAGAGAAATTTCTCTATTTTAAATAATAAAAAAAATTAGAGGGGAAATGAGGGATTTTTCTTTATTTTACTTTAATTTTTGTTCTACTTTAATTTAACCAAATAAGGGTTTCCATTTCCCTCCCCTCCCCTTTCATCCCTTTTTTTCTAACAAAATAGGGTTTAAACTTTTAAGAGGAGAAATATAGAGTATAATTACTCCCTATTTTTATAAAGCTTAAACTTACAGCATGGTCCCTCAACTTTGGTATCGAATCCAAATTTAATCTCTAAACTTTAGTGTAGAGTTTTGATTTGGTCTCTCAATTCAAAAAAATTCCTTCTATAATTTCCAAGTTTTATATCTTGACCTTTTGTTTTTCTTCAGTCAACTTTAGCACGTTAACTAATGAACAAGTTTATCTTTTTTTCTTCATCTGAATTACGTGGAAAATTCAAGCATAGAGAATGTTGAGCAAGAATGTCCTATGTTAATTTTTTGTTTGGCAAAAATTGTTGACCTCTCTCCATCCTAACTAACAATATAATTTTTTTTTTCTAGTACAATTCTTGGAATTCCTGTCTTTTGGTTGGGATCCAATTAGCTAACCATCGAGAGTACTGCTGAGTCTTTTTTTTTTGGCCGTCAGTGTTGAGTTATTAACACAATTCTTACTTAAAATAGCTCATGGAACTAGACTTTTCATCTGTTTTAATTATTATCATGATAGAAATGAGTTCTGGTCAGATTTTTTTTATCACATTTCTCGTCAAAGACGGACTTTGCTACATGTGTATATTTTCATTCATAGGGAATTATTGGTTCCAGAACTCTCGTTGATGAGCCATTAACATTTTTTCTTTTTGAGCATTCAAAAGTTCAGAGGAGCTACAGCAAACTCCTCTTTTTCTCGTAAGATTTTTTCTTTTGATACGTCTAATTATAAGTTATATAAAAAACAATAATTATATTTTATTTTCAAATTTTTTTCCATCCAATTCAAAAGTTAAAACTTAAATTAAAAATTTTAAAATTTTAATCGTTGAATTAACTTATTAAAATTCTCTTAAGTTTAATAATAAGGGAAATAATAACAAAATATCTCTCTTTTTCGTTTATATTAGGATTTAAACTTTATACTTTTGATATGAAAATTCATTATCTTAACCATAACTAAGATCTCATTCTCATTCAATTGCGGATTTTTTACCGACTGGCCAAATGGACCAAAATGCGGTATACTATCCTTTGTTTCCATAATACATCACATTAGGAGCGTCAACAGGGTGGCAGACACTGATATCATACAATTGAAAGAACAGGTCCACAGAATACAACAGGGCGTCGATGCGCACGGTGGTGGGCGGGTGATCGGACTTTGACGGTGGCGGGGTTAAAAACAGCCGTGTGTGGGTCAATCACGTAGTCGTTACTTAGGTAATCTCAATGCCCAAATTCCAAGCAAAAGTGAAAAAGGTTAAAAGTCAGCCCGTCATCCTAATCTCCTTTGAAAAAGCAAACAACCAACCCACCTTTCGCATCAAAGAATTCCCAGGAGACGGTCAATTGGAACCATTTTAACCAGCCAATGGTTTTTACACGAAAGTTCTTTTGTCATTCCACCTTTAGTTCCTTGTCTTATATGAAATAGAAGAATAACAACCTAGTAAATCATCAATAAGAAATATTTATAACTTATATTATACTGAATTACATAATTTAACTAAAAAAATAGATATTTTTTGTATTAAGAGTTATCTTTATTTAATAATTTTTATTTTATAATAAATACAATCTAAATCATAAAATAATAACCTTTTAAATCATTTTAGTTTAAAATGTTAATAAGATTTCAATTTAACGTATTAAAAACTCAAAGACTAAGACCAAGTCGTTGTTTCTACTCTTCTAAATAATTAGTTCTTCTTTTTTAAGTTTATCTTAAACTGTGTACTGATGCGAGATATTAAAGTTTCATATAAAAGAAGGTTCTTTTCTTTTGACTCACTTCTTCACTGTTGTGGCAACTAAATCTAGACAATAAATAAATATCCAATAAGTGTTTTGTATAAGTAATTTAAAATTAATAACTATTAATTTTATTTAACTTAATTTTTATAATTATTTTTATTTATAATTCAAATTTTTTTACAAAATAAAATTAGATAACATTAAGAAACTGTTAATTTTAGTTCTCACTAAATATACTCTTAATGTGAAATTGATGGTCAGAAGACTGCCGCCAAGTGCACTGTGCAGATTATCAAGATCATCACGAACCTTTGTGGGGTCAAAAAGACTATAAATCGGTCAAAGGTGTGAATCATACCTGCTGGGCCCACTTGCATGGATGCCACGTGGATGGCGATTGGTGGCGTCTACACGTGCGACGTGACAGAAAGAATAACGCGTAGGCAAAAAAGAAAGATAGTAATTATAAAAGTCACCCTAGTACAAAATACAAATAGTCTTTTTTATTTTTCACAATTTTTATTATTAATATTTTTTTTTTGGGGTAAAGTTTGGAAGTTTTTATTTCACCTCTAGGCAAAAATCCATGCAAAAACCAGCCTCGACGTACAGTCTCGAAGCTTTTCCATGTCTGTTTCACACACTGCGTTCAAAAGAGAATAGACCAGAGGGTTGACCAATTTTGTTAAAGATAAACAAATATTATGAAAAAAAAAAAGAAAAAAATAATAGATTAAATGCCTATTTTGCTTAGTAATTTTAACTAAAGAACTTCTTAATTTGTTATAGGTAATCACAAATTTGGGTTAGAAATAAATATACCCATGATTCATAACTCATCCCATCCATTCAATACGTTACTCCATCTTCTGTAGTAAAATTAGTTATCAAATGTATAAATATATGTTCATGTGAATTGTTTAGCTCACCTATTCCTTATATTCATGCAACAAAATCAGTGCTTTTATGTGGATGTTTGATACATTAGAAGTTACTAGTTATTTAGTATTATAGAGATTTCAACTTTTAATCTTAATTTTAAATCAAAATTTTAACATTATTAGATATTAACTCAGTTAACTTATTAATAATATTTATATGTGGATTAACCTTTTAATTTGTATTTTATTAAATATGAATTTTACTTAGATTTGACCTTAATTAGTAAATTGCTATATTATTGATCTAATGGCATATTTTTATATAGGTACAACTAAAGCCAATTTCAAATTAAAGGGGTTAGTAAGGAGTTTGCTTTTTTACTTTAAATTAATCAATGTAAATTGATTTTAGGAGAAGAGTTTTTTTTTTCTCTTTTTGATTTTATGATACATAATAAAAGGTCTTCTTTTATTTTTAAATTCATTCTCCTCTATATATCATATAAACTTGAATTTAAAATGAATCAGTGATTGTGCCATAGAATTTTTTGGGTTTTGGGTCTTAAGGTTTGTAAGACTAGAAGCTCCTTTTTTGCATGTGCACAGCACACCGAGCGGTCAATGAAATGCCTGAAAGGGGTGCGCTGTTTTGCTTGTGATATTTTCTGGTTTCCGTTTGCTACACTCAACATCTTGAGTTATTTTAGTTGGTGCAGTGTTGTTGAGGCAATCTTTTTATTTTATTTTTTTTATATAATTTTTAAATATTATTAAATTAGTGAATGTATTTAATATTATAATTTCATATAAATTAAAAAAATTAATCATTTTAATGACACGTCAAATTATATAAAAAAATTAAATAAAAAAATTATACAAATATCATTTTCCATTTTAGTTGTAATTGGGCAGTTTTATTGGCGTGTGGAATGGGTTAAGATATTTTTTTATAAAAACTTTAAATTTTATTTAAAAGTTTTATATTATACTATAATATAACTATAATTATGATTTTTTATTTATTATTATCTATAAAATAAATAAAATATTAACTAAAATTAATAAATTTATATTTTTAAATAAATTACCATATAAAAACATTTTATGTAAATATTAAAATTAAAGGATCGATTTTGGAACGAAACCATAACTACTTTTTACTAGTTTTTTTAAAGAATTTCTTTAAAGAAACTAATAAAGGAGAGATTCATTTTATATTTTTTAGGTTTACCATGATAACATCTGACGGCTATATAAAAAAAAAAAAAAAATCTAGGCTATATATTTTTAAATTAAAAGAAAGAAAAAATGGCTTGTTCTCTAAGATTCCTATTACTGGTCGCAAAGTATAAAGCTAACCCCACCACCTGTGGGCCTTCCTTCGTAAGCCTGACGGCACGTAAACGCAATGGGAACAAATGAAAACACGAAATAAAAAAATAAATTTAAGACAAAAAAACAAAAAGGAAAAAAAAAAAAAAA